TTTCAGAACATCACAGTTCTGTAACTCGGCCAACTCAAACTGATAATAAGGCTGGGCTTCATCAATGTCGGCAGCAAAAGGGGTTCTGGAAAAGAGAGATTTCTTCCGCATAAACATGTAGTTCATGGAATCGCACACTGAACTCCGCCTTCACCATTTCCAGTGCTTCCACACACTTTTCAGCTGGAAACGGGACCGCTGGGTTCTCTGCAGAGAGGTTTTGTGTAGCAGGGAGATGGATGAAGCTGTGCTTTTTCACTTGTCCCAAAAGCAGCTCTAGTTTCACCTCAAATGCTTTTATGTGGGAATACATGTCGCAAATGAGTTTCCCCTGGCCTTGTAGTTGCAAGTTAAAGCTGTTCAGCATTTCTGTCATGTCTGTTAAAAATGCGAGGTGCCATTTCCATTCTGGGTCCGTCAGCTCTGGCACCGTTTTGTTTTGTGAATGAAGAAATGCATTAATTTCAGGTAGCAGCTCGTAAAAACGCCTCAAAACTCTGCCCCGGCTCAACCATCGGACCTCTGTGTAGTACAGCACATCTCCGTGCGCAGATTCCAGTTCAGACAGGAATTCTTGGAACTGCCTGTGTTTAAGTCCCTTTGCTCTGATGAAGTTTATGCATGAAACCACAACCTTCATGACAGAATCCCACCTTATTTGAAAGAAAAAAAAAAAACTTTTTTTTTTAAATCACCATAACGGGACAGTTTTTTTTTTTTAAATAAAGGTGACATTCCCCCATGATTTATGAAGACACTCGAACAAGGTGCATTATCTTTTTTCAAAATATTGAACATGGTTTTTTTCCACATTTTGGTACTCTTTTAAAGACGACACAAAACAATTTCATATCTGCCCTTTAAAATGCACGTGAATGACCATCATGAGCAGGGGTCAGCGGTCATGTTCCAGCATGCTTGGTCGTTCTGATAACTGCAGAAGGCAAAGCAGCTCCCACGCAGCTGCACAGGAAACATGCCGTGACATCCTGAACCAGGTGACATTTTTTCTTGGCACTCATCTGTCCAAAACATCAACAGCCTGTCGTTACGGACATCAGAAAAATCAGAGACGCCGCCATCCATGTCAACTTTGTCACAAACTGGTGAATATTTTCTATCGGGGTGGAAGGTGATGACATTAAGGCACTGCGATCGTTGTGGCTTCACTGATTTCAGGGGTAAGATTTGAGGTGGAAGGATAACAACCATGTCCTCAGTCAAAGTGCAATGACGCATTGACCCAATTCACGATTATTCTGACCCCAGAAATTACAATAGGTGTGTAGGTGGTGACCCCTAGTGGTGGAGTTGGTTGAGGTAGCCATTTTGAACAGACATTCTCCTTGATTGAGCTTTTCATTCGGCACAATCTGTTACACTGAAATACATTTTAAGTAAACTGTCTACCGTTAATGGACTTTGACTTGGCAAGGCATCGAAAGCAGCACTGTAGTAGTTGGGCGTCGTACCGAAATGCTCGAGCTGTTCAGTTCAACAGCAGGGCCAATTGTGTGCTCTTATTCAGTGTGGGTTGACTCCACTTCTCGGTTTCTTGATAATGTGCTGTGAAATGCACTTTGGATCTGTAATTATGTGTATTTATGTTTGCGCTTGATTTAGTCTCAACTAGTATTTTAGCCCAAAGGCTTAAATAAACATATACTTCTCAGCCATGGTGATCGCTCACAAACTTTTCGTATTGTGCATGCGACAAAACTGATACTTTGTGAATAATTAAATGCAGGAGGACGCTTGGTTACTAACGCCATCGTACACAACAAATAACGGCATTACGGAACAGTGACACTTTGTGTCCAGTTGATGCAAATGGAGCGTGCTGGCATACCATGCATTGTATTGTATTCTATCGTCATTTGTAGCAGGCAAAGGCGGATGTTGGGTGCTTGCAGGTCAGCTTTGATCACATGGGCCTGCCATGAAATCGTACGCTTCGCCTCTAGAGGTCGTCATTGCACTTAATTTTTCTTTCCTAGCTCCACTTCCCAAAGGCACCAGAATCAAGACTGCACAGTCATTTAAAGACAACTACTTGAGCGGTGATGGACGAAAGCATAGATACCACCGCATTGCTAAATATCCCCTGGCTTGAACGATTAACAGTTAAACAAGCACGAAGTACTGTGTATGTCCTGTACAAACGATTCCTTGAAAAACTGCTGGAGATATTGGGTGGTTTGACAATGCAACGCAGACGGTCACAAACAACTAGGGTAGTACAGTTTTGCTATTTTGTGCGGTATACACTGTATCAAAGGTGGCGAGAATGGCATGGAATAAAATAGAATTAGGGATGAGTATCTTTCACATACGAGCCGGTACTGTATCGACAACAAAATAGCTAATTATAATAAAATCTCAGTCATTTCAATTTATTATTTATTCTTCAATATATAAATTCGACAAATACAACACAACAATATAATTATACAATAAATGAGTAAAAGAGGAAGGAGTCAAGAAAAATGAAGCCATAACATTTTATAAATATGATACAAGCAATGGATAAATACAATAAAAATTGGCAAAGGTACTTGAATCCAAGTTCAGCACGGTTAAGCATGCAGTCTATCTGGTTTAAAGTTCATCTTCCAAATTTTTATTTTTTTTAAAGCTGAAGTTATTATCCTGTAAAGTCACCAGTGGCAGGAATGGCCCTTTGACGGTTTGGAAATGTGGGCTTCTTTGTCTTGACCATTTCACAACAATGTAAAATACGTTTGACATATTTTGCCCCTTCTGGGACATTCCCGTAGTCAAGTCCAGTTCCTGATTCAATAAGTGAATTAGAAGCACGCACGCACTGTCCTTCCACTTTCAGTCTTGCTGCAAGTCGAGACGGCGGGAGGAACTGTCGGTCTCGGAGGGCTAACGGCGACTTCAGGTCAGTGTGAGCTTTCACAGCTTAATCCTGGTTTAGCATGTATGCTGTGTAGCCGTACCTCTTAAAGATCTTACATTTTGGGATGTTAGTGATGGCGTGTGCAAATTATGACACCTTGGTGGGCCTTTTTCATATTCCTCATAAAACGTGAGCGCCGACATTCCTGAAAAAATAGCGGGACTGTTTATATGCTATGCATGTACTGTGCATGTTTTATTTATTTTTTTTAATTTTGCCGTTTCTTCATTACAAAACGGACAATGGGCGTGGCCTTTAATTTGAACTTGCTGGCTGCTGATTTAACAAGTTGTCATGTGGTTTCAGTCAGCCGCAATGAATGTGACTTTTTTTTTTCAAATTTGAACTCCTAGGCGCCATTCCACTCAAATTATACTTCGACAGACTCCGCACACGATGAAGTATGTTATTTGTAAAGGCCGACTTTTGGTTTTGAATCTGCCATGAATCTGTACCATGAAG